GAACTGTGGCAAATAAACAAAGCAAGTGATTAGTGGGTCACCTGGTAAGCATCACACAAAAATACTATAAATTTCTAATTTTGTTAACAATGAGACCACTCTCAAGTTTTAGCTGGATATTTTGTGGACTTGGATTATGTAGTTCTATTCCTCAACAGCTCCTTAGTACATGACAATGTTACAAATATACAGTGGAGTTTCCTAAATTGATAGCAAATCTATTCAATATAAGTAGAGGTGGCCAATTCCGGGCCGCGCCGGGTTGGCGGGCCTAAATATCACGGCCCGTGACCGGCCCGAAATAAACTATGGGCTTGTTCATAGAACCAGTCTTAAACCGCCGGTTCACCGACCCGACGGGTCACAGGGCAGTACGGCCCTGCAAAAAATAAAATAACGCCGTGGCCCGGCATCCAACCCGTGACCCGACCCGAACTGGACCGACAGGTCCAAAAAAATAAATAAATTATGAACCGGGACCGAACAGCGACCGGGCCGGTTCGAGCCGTGGACATGTTTAAATATAAGCAGTTGTGCAGTTAACACTAAAGCCAATAAATCTTCTAGCTAGTGATATAATGTGAGAAAGCATTTGATTCGTGAGTTCACATTAGGTACTTCTGTTATCTCGTTTTATCATAGTTTTCAAAGTTTTGTGCTGATTTAATCGACCGTAACTTTCCTGCACAGGTGATCATAACTTTCCTGCACAGGTAATGAAGCCCCAGCCCGTGGAGTTTTAGGGATCAACTAGGGGCTGTAAACCGGACAGTTAATGTTACATATAATAAGCCCATGACTGCTGCATTCGCAAAACATAGACCAATGAGCTCTTGAGGATAAATTATATACCTTTTGTTGTCAAAAGCCCCCTTTTTTTTGGGTGTAGTTAGTAACTGTAACACTGAATGTGGCTAAAAATTGTACGTGTTAACTATTTGATATTATTTTCGTAGGGGAGATATTATGGTTCCGTTATGAAACCATTCTGTTGGGATTTGTAACTGTTAAATTAACTATTTCCGACGATTGTATAATGATTTAACAGTTAAAAACTCCGATTCAGTAACAAGACCATAGTATTTCATTTTCGTAGTTTTATCTTTTAGTTGTTCTTATGGAGGCTTTGCCAATTTGTTACTCACATCTTCATTTTTCTTTATTAGCAACTAGCCATTGCAATTTGGTGGCAATGGTCGGCGGATTTTGACTTTGTTGATTTGATTTGATTTGCTGTGCTAGCTTTGATTTTCGATCAAACTGGGCTGTAAAATCTGCAAAATTTCATTTTAATACGAATTTGCTTGTGTTTGCCATCAAAAAATGCAACTCAACCCTTGAAATTGAGATCTTAAGCGAAAAATATATATTTAAAAAAAAAAAATTAAAAACCAATTGTGTAAAGAAAGCGGTGGATATTGCTTTGATTGCGCGAATATGATATGATCTTGAGCTCACATGACGGGATTTATTTGGCTGTGATACGTACATAAGAATATTATTTTATTATAAACTTGATAGTATAGTATATCTTTTTAGAGTATTGCTCCGGTGTACACATGTTAATATGTCTATCGCTTATGTGACATGTACACATTGATACTGTATTTTTTTAAAACATATTAACCAATGTGTGCATGCCACATAAACGATTGACATATTAACATGTGTACACCGTGATTAGATAAACATTTTTTTTTTTTTTATCTTTTTATTATACGGATTAGATTATATGCTCGTCAAAAG